GGCCACTGCAGTGAATTATTGAACCCAGGAGAGAGGTGGTGGGTGGTTTGGGAGGAACAGTTGGTGAAAGGGCTGGAGGGAGGCAGCATGTCTGGCCTTGTAGGAATAGGCCTTGGGTTACTGCTGGTAATTCTGTCTTCCCCTTGTAGGGTTAGAGGAGGTCAGAACATGTGGCCTCCTTGCCCTTTTTGCAACCTGCCATCAAACATTTGAACATAATTCAGACAAGTTATTTGCTACTGTATAAAAAGCATAATTTCCTCACCAATGTCAGGTCACGTGTTCATCATTTCCTTTTAAATTCTCATGAGAAGCATATGTAACATTCACATTTCCAGCAACATTCTCTTCATGGTGATAGAAGCTTGCAACATACTTCTCAATTCCTTCTCAGTCCTCATCAGAACTGTCTTTGATGTCCATAAGTCTACCAATAGTCTCTTCAAGGCAAACTTGGGCTTACTATGAAGGACATCAAAATTCCTCCAGATTCTTCCCATTGCCCAATTCCCAAACCACTTCCACATTTTAGGTGTCTGTTAGGGCAGCAACTTGCCTTGTAGCTACCAAAATTCTGTCACAATTCAATCCGTAGCAATGTATGGGGCATTTATGAGAAAGCAGGTCTGCAAAGTGTCATAAAATATGGTTTTGAAGGTCAGTGATCTTTAGATAAGCATATTTCATGAAAGGTTTCCTCTGATGCAACACAAATAGAATTTAAAAGGTTAATTAAGGAACAAAAATGTGAATTACACTTCCAAGCAGAATGAATTAATTTCAGCAGATGATTGCACTTCCTGGCAAGGATTTTAAAAGCCACATACATTAGAAAAATGATAGTTTGAGGGTATCAAAGAGCTGTGGAAGTAATGAAGACTGTTGTTACTGTGAACCATCAATCAATTCCCCACAGGGTTCCCTAGGCTATAATCTTTACAGGCGAAAATTGCAGGTCTTTCCTCCTGCAGAGCTCTGGTGGGTTCAAACCACTGACCTTTTGGTTAGCAGCCAAACATTTAACCAATGCACCAGCACTACAAATCTCCCTCTTCCAGTCATCTTGATTATAGAAGGAAGTTGGAATAACTACCAAGTAATCAAGCTGTCCTGTGCATTTGCTTTACTTTTCAGTTTCCAGGAGGCCTGTCTTATAAATCAATTATTTCTCTAAATGCTTTATTCTTTTAATTGTTAAATGTTAACAAGACAATTGACATTTTAAGAATTTTCACATGTACAATTCAGTAACATTAATTATGTTCACTATGGTGCTCCACCATCACCCTGATATTTTCTTGATAGAATTTTGCAAAGTCAGTGGCCTGCTCAATTTTTAACCAGAATAAGGAGGAATTTAAGAAAGAGTAGGGTTGGCTTTTCACTGAGGTGTGTCTCCTTGAACCAATGGCAGGGAACTCATAGCTGAGGACCAGATCATGGCCTATTCAAGCAGGTGGACTCCTACCTGTGGACCCAGCTCCCAATATTCTATGACCAAAAGAACCATACTTGCTCAGCTCTGTAGTCATCTTAGATTGTTATCACAAACTCTCAGTTTTATTGAGGGAAAACCCAAGCACATTTTTTCTAGGTTTAGAGAATTGTCCAAGGTTCAAGCCAGAGTCCTCTTGACTGTTCACCTATTGCTTCCTCTGGTCTCCCAGCTGGCCTCTGTCATCTGCTTCCCACACTCACCTCCAATAATTATACAGAACTTTTAGTTCTTGTTTCATGTCTTTTCCTCTCTGACATCTTTCAATTCACCAGATTGTGTCCTTGTGCCTAACCAATAAACAGTTTTAATTTATCTAACCAGTTAATGAACTGCTCTAGCCCTATGTAGAGATGGTGTCTTCACTATCTAGTACTGCTATAGCAGAAATACAACAAGTAAGTCGCTTTAACAAACAGAGATTTATTTTCTCATAGTTTAGGAGGCTAGAAGCCTGAATTCAAGGTACCAGCTATAGAGAAAGTCTCTTTCTCTGTCTCCTCTGAAAGAAAATCATTGCCTTCACTTCCTTAAGGAGCTCTGATGGTGTGGTGCCTAAGGCATTTGACTGCTAACCAGAAGGCTAATGGCTCAAACCCAC